CAAGTGAATGGCATCATGTTCCACACGATCAAAGACTCACTATAGTGACCGGAACTCACTATCAGCATCCAGGAGGTGGAACAGTTCTTCTGAGAACTCCATAAGAGAAATGATAAGACGCCAGTGTGTACGCCAAAGGAATTTATGGTGAAAATTTTGTTTATTTTAGCGACGGGGATAAATGCCCCGCCTCCGCTCCCTTCACCAAGGAAGTGTATAGGGAGCTACACATACGGGGAAGAAAAGTTACTTGAACTGCTAAGAAGGATGAGGTAAAGGGACACTTGATGATGTGCCAAAGCTTGAGTTACAAACGCAGAGTAATCCTATCCTCCAGCAGGTGTGGCCCATCCTACTATCCTCCAGCAGGTGTGGCCCATCCTACTATTCTCCAGCAGGTGTGGCCCATCCTACTATCCTCCAGCAGGTGTGTTGCCCATCCTACTATCCTCCAGCAGGTGTGTTGCCCATCCTACTATCCTCCAGCAGGTGTGTTGCCCATCCTACTATCCTCCAGCAGGTGTGGCCCATCCTACTATCCTCCAGCAGGTGTGTTGCCCATCCTACTATCCTCCAGCAGGTGTGTTGCCCATCCTACTATCCTCCAGCAGGTGTGTTGCCCATCCTACTATCCTCCAGCAGGTGTGTTGCCCATCCTACTATCCTCCAGCAGGTGTGTGGCCCATCCTACTATCCCCCAGCAGGTGTGGCCCACCTTACTATCCCCCAGCAGATGTGGTCCATCCTACTATCCCCCAGCAGGTGTGGCCCATCCTACTATCCCCCAGCAGGTGTGTTGCCCATCCTACTATCCTCCAGCAGGTGTGGCCCATCCTACTATCCTCCAGCAGGTGTGGCCCATCCTACTATCCTCCAGCAGGTGTGGCTCGGGCAGCGGAAGCTCTGGGCGGACTTAGGGACGTCGTGGCTTCACTTCACGCCAGAAGCGTTGCATCTGATCATGGTAATTATATAAAATATAATTAATATATAAGATAATATATGAAATGTAATTAATTCATTGTAAAATTAATTATTTTTAATAATCGGTCCTCATTTTTTTAAGCACTTTCGAGTCAGTGAGTTTCTAGCAATTGATATATATATATATATATATATATATATATATATATATATATATATATATATATATATATATATATATGTCGTACCTAGTAGCCAGAACGCAGTTTTTGGCCTACTATGCAAGGCCCGATTTGCCTAATAAGCCAAGTTTTCTGAATTATTATATTTTCTCTAATTTTTTTCTTATGAAATGATAAAGCTACCCATTTCATTATGTATGAGGTCAATTTTTTTTATTGGAGTTAAAATTAACGTAGGTATATGACCGAACCTAACCAACCATACCTAACCTAACCTAACCTATCTTTATAGGTTAGGTTTGGTTAGGTAGTCGAAAAAGTTAGGTTAGGTTAGGTTAGGTATGTTAGGTAGTCGAAAAACAATTAATTCATGAAAACTTGGCTTATTAGGCAAATCGGGCCTTGCATAGTAGGCTGAGAAGTGCGTTCTGGCTACTAGGTACGACATATATATATATATATATATATATATATATATATATATATATATATATATATATATATATATATATATATATATATATATATATGAGAGAGAGAGAGAGAGATTTTATATACGTGTTTCATATAATATATTAAATGACATTATTAACCTAATTCTCATACCTATGGCCCGCCCCCTGCAGGAGCCGCGTGCCCCTACCCATACACAAAGGTGATCAGCGAGTGCTTCTATGCCCACCAGAAGAAGCTGACGTGGTCACAGGCGCGGCGGGTATGTCAGGGTATGGGAGGGCACTTGGCGGAACCCGTCCATCCCTACGGTCTCCAGGCCTACCTCGCTCATTCCTACGGTGAGCAGCCGTAGGGATAACAGTAAACAGAGTTGAACAACAACGTGTGAGTCCTGTTGACACCTCTAGGCTGGTGGCAACAACGTGTGAGTCCTGTTGACACCTCTAGGCTGGTGGCAACAACGTGTGAGTCCTGTTGACACCTCTAGGCTGGTGGCAACAACGTGTGAGTCCTGTTGACACCTCTAGGCTGGTGGCAACAACGTGTGAGTCCTGTTGACACCTCTAGGCTGGTGGCAACAGGGGGGTGTTTATGTTGCGGGTGTTTTAGATTCAGCTACAACTCGGAGCAACATGTTGCAAGTAGCACGGGCTATGGTGAGCCCGTAGTGGGCTCTCCTGGCACAGTAGTGGGGATGTAACTCGTCAATTGATGTCGTGAGTTTGGGAAGAAGAGCACTCCGTCTTAGAAGGTGTTCATCTTGTTATATTGTTATAAGGACGGTGGGGGGGGGGTGTGGCACGTTGGGGGGAGGGGGGTGCTTGGGGGGTGGCGTGGGGGGGGGCGCGTAAGGGGGGGTGAGGGGGGAGGGGGTGTGGCGCGAAGAGGACTGACCTCGCCAGTAGTGCCAGACCTCACTCGTCACAGCCTTATAACTGCCAGACCTCACGAATTGTAGCCCTAACAACCAGAGGTTATTAATCGCTGCCTAAATCACCAGACCTTATACATGCCACCACTAAGGCACAAGGGAGTGATGCAAAATATTGGCTAATAGTTCAGGAGACAACGACTTTTAAGGCAACAGAGGAAAAAACAGGAGAACTCTGAAGAGGCACAGGTAGAGAGCCGAACAGAAGAGGCACAGGTAGAGAGCCGGACAGAAGAGGCACAGGGAGAGCAGCCGGACAGAAGAGGCATAGGTAAAGTAGCCGGACAGAATAGAGCAAGTGTAACCCATAAATGAATGAATATGTGAGAATGAGAACAGAAAGAGGATGATATAGCATCAAGGGCTAAAGAGCAAACTAAACTACCACTCAACCACACTGGGAGCGGAAACCACCTGCATACCAAGTAGAAAATTACTCCCGATTGAGGTGTGGACGGAAACCGAAACTGACAACGAAATGTGCGAGTTACAATAGACGATATAGTTTCCAGTCAAGTTTGTCAACAAGAACTTTGAGCCTCTTCCTGAGGCAGAGGACAACCTCCCATGAGTGAGAGACTAAGCAACCTAGAAGTTATAGCAGATGAGTTAAAGGAGCAACTTGAGGATCTGGACGTAGGGAAAGAACCAGACTAAGTCATCGCGTGGATGCTAAAGCATGCAGCTAAAGCTTTAAGATACTCCTATAAATAATCTACAACGCTTTGAAGGAGCGTTACCAGACCCAAATATTAAATCACCGATAGACACGAGGTACTAAAATCCTGTATCATTACCCAGAAGAAATTAATCAAGAATAGACTGATAAAATACGTCTACCTTTCCTACCCCCTCTTCATCCTAGCATATTGACAGCCCAGCCTCCACTTTACATGGCAACCCGGGGCTTTCACATCCCATGCAAGATCAAACGGTCGCAGAGATGAGGAGGCTGGCAAACAGTGGGTGGGAGGGATGCAGAGGAAAAATAATACGCCCTCGAGGGACCTCGGGAGGAACAAAGTTGGAACCCTATATTTATGTTTTCCAACAATGTGACGAAGTCCTGTGAAATGATCGATGGAGCTGCTACGCTATACGCAAACTGAAGTATGTTGAACAGACCACACACTAGAAAGTGAAGGGACGACGTTTTGGTCCATCCTGGACCATTCTCAAGTCGATTGTCCAGGACGACATTCGATTTGAGAATGGTCCAGGACGGACCGAAACGTCGTCGTCCCTTCACTTTCTAGTGTGTGGTTTGGTCAACATATTTCAGCCACGTTATTGTGACTCATCGTCTGCAAACTAAAGTATAGAAATGTGTAAATAAAAAGATCTTGCATAAATCCCGCCCGCAACTCGTTCGAACTATGGGTGCAAGTCAGGGACTTTCGTGAGGTCCTTAATACTAAGTTCTAACTTTATCATGAGTTGGTCAGTATAAGTTCTAAGCTCGAAAGATCCTGAGAGGTAGTCCCAATTCAGATTGAGTACATTCTGTGCAAATGCGAATAATCTCCGAGACACGTTCGTTACCTGTTAATGTTGCGAGCTCCGAATGCAAGACTGTGAGAGATTTTCACTGTTTCAGGGACATTCTCTGATGTCAGTTTTACAAACAATATATAACAAGCAGTTCCAACGTTGCTAACTTGGACCTGATTAACTGAGATTAAGATGTAGACTTATAACCTTAATTAGCAAGTGGTGTAAACTAATCATTACATTTGAAGTAGGTGTAAAGAGCTGTAGAGCCGTAATAATTCAATTAACAATTGTAACAAGTTGTAATTGTAACAAACTTACAATTAAAGCTGTGAACAGTGATGGGTTAAGGTCGCCATGGAGGCACTCCGGTTGTATGGTATAACAATTGGTATTGTAAAGTTTAAGTTATTAATAACATTCCCAATATTTTATATTCAAAGGTGATCTCATTCGACGCTACAGTTTCTTTTGATTTGTGTTCATTATATATATATATATATATATATATATATATATATATATATATATATATATATATATATATATATATATATATATATAGGTTAGGTTAGGTAGGTTAGGTAGTCGAAAAATAATTTATTCTTGAAAACTTGGCTTATTAGGCAAATCGGGCCTTGCAAAGTAGGCTGAGAAGTGCGTTCTGGCTATTAGGTACGACATATATATATATATATATATATATATATATATATATATATATATATATATATATATATATATATACATATATATATATATGCGAACAAGCCTGAATGGTCCCCAGGACTATATGCGAATGAAATATATATATATATATATACTTCTGGGGTGTGAGTTTTCATTCATATATATATATATATATATATATATATATATATCTGTATATATAATATATTATATATAAGTGGCTCTGTATGCACTTCTGCTTTGCATTTGAAAATGTTGACAGATTCAGAGAAACACATATCTACGCGTCACGTTATACAAAATTGTAAAATTAACTTCGGGGAGTTAAATTTTCAACTTTTCTCTCAAGTAGAGAAAATAAAAATATTGAGCAGGTTCGTGCTAGAATCATTATATTATATCTGTCATATTTAATAACACACACACACACACACACATTCTTCATCTTGTGGGGCCTCGCGGCTGAGTGGAAAGGACTCGGGGGTCGTAGTCTTAATGGCCCGGGTTCGATTCCCGACGGAGGCGGAAACTAATGGGCAGAGTTTATTTCACCCTGCAGCTACTGTTCACCTAGCAGTAAATAGATATCTGGGAGTTAAACAGCTTCTGCGGGCAGCTTCCGTGTGTGTGTGTGAGTGTGCATGTGTTAGAGAGAAATATATATAGTAGATATAATAGAGGAAAAATAGATTGGTTAGAAAGGTGGGGTCCAAGAGCTAATAGCTCGATTCGGCAGACACAAATACTAAATACAAATCGTAAAATACATACACACATTACTTAGTCTTTCATACAGACATGTTATTGAATATACAAAAAGGTTTAGATGAACGCCTCTATATTCTTGAGGTTATCTTGAGATGATTTCGGGGCTTTTAGTGTCCCCGCGGCCCGGTCCTCGACCAGGCCTCCACCCCCAGGAAGCAGCCCGTGACAGCTGACTAGCACCCAGGTACCTATTTACTGCTAGGTAACAGGGGCATAGGGGCTCTAGGATGAACCTTCTCTTTATTTGTCATGGTTCTTCTTTGCGTGAGAAGGAAATTACAAATTATGTGCCCATAGCACATATTACACTTTCCATATGTGGCATGGCGCTACGAGACGAGTTTCGTTGAGTCTGTCAACATTGTCAAGGGCGGAGGTGAAGTGGATACAAGTTTGTTTTGTTAATATCTGACAACGATGTTGTTAACAGTGTTCTACACACACAGGACCCGGGTACTTCTGGGTGGGAGGCACTGACGAAGGTGCAGAAGGTTCCTGGCACTGGGTGAAATCGGGTCGGTCCATTGACGCCGCTGACTGGCTCTTCTCCCGTCCGGACAATCGAGCTGGGAATGAACACTGCCTCGAGATAGTCATGTCTGACTACCCGGGGCTTTACAACGACGAGACCTGCTCTGTGTCGCAAAGGTTCATCTGTCAGTATAAACACAGCGAGTGAACCCTGAGTCTTTGGACAACGAGACCTGTGCTGTGTCGCAAAGGTTCATCTGTCAGTATAAACACAGCGAGTGAACCCTGAGTCTTTGGACAACGAGACCTGTGCTGTGTCGCAAAGGTTCATCTGCCAATATAAACACAGCGAGTGAACCCTGAGTCTTTGGACAACGAGACCTGTGCTGTGTCGCAAAGGTTCATCTGCCAATATAAACACAGCGAGTGAACCCTGAGTCTTTGGACAACGAGACCTGTGCTGTGTCGCAAAGGTTCATCTGCCAGTATAAACACAGCGAGTGAACCCTGAGTCTTTGGACAACGAGACCTGTGCTGTGTCGCAAAGGTTCAGCTGCCAGTATAAACACAGCGAGTGAACCCTGAGTCTTTGGACAACGAAACCTGCTCTGTGTCGCAAAGGTTCATCTGCCAGTATAAACACATCGAGTGAACCCTGAGTCTTTGGACAACGAAACCTGCTCTGTGTCGCAAAGGTTCATCTGCCAGTATAAACACATCGAGTGAACCCTGAGTCTTTGGACAACGAAACCTGCTCTGTGTCGCAAAGGTTCATCTGCCAGTATAAACACATCGAGTGAACCCTGAGTCTTTGGACAACGAGACCTGCTCTGTGTCGCAAAGGTTCATCTGCCAGTATAAACACATCGAGTGAACCCTGAGTCTTTGGACAACGAGACCTGCTCTGTGTCGCAAAGGTTCATCTGCCAGCGTACGCTACACAGATGGATCTTTAAGGAGGAACTTCACGTCGTCATGTACAGCCCATCATCAAAACACTGGTCGAATGTTTGTTAATTCCAGCGGCCAAACCCCAACTGTTTATGAATTAAAACTCTTTACACGTCACCTGCAACAACCCGTCCTCAGGCCAGGCTCGTTAAAGCTGCGACCGTCCCCCCAAGATGCATTCATCAATTGTAACATATTGTTTATTGAATCTGGACTTGGTCTCATTTGAATATTAATATTATACATTAGTTTTATGTATAATTGGGCATTGGTTAGATTAGGTTAGGTGTTTAGGTTCTTTTGGCAATTATTTGTATTTGAAGTACGTTAGTGAAGCAGTTACAGAACTGTGATTCGAACGGAGGTCGCCAGCGAAGAGCTTCTCGAAAAATGTTCGAACGTCATCAGTTGTGAGTCGTGTGTAAGCCGCTTTTCATTCATCAGCCGAGAGGTCTGTCGACTGGCTGAACGAACAATTGGGCTTTGTTGATGAGGACGGGCTGCACACACCTAATTGTGTTCGAGCTTTTCTCAAAGAGTGCTTCGCTCACTTCCTATCTTCATTCGCGACTCGTCCTCAACAACGAAGGCCAAATGCTCATTAATCCACACATGAACCCCACCCCCCCCACCCCCTTTTTTCCCCGCTATTCCTGAAAGAAAAACATTGTATACACATGACTCGCGGTACAGTCGGATTCGTTCTCGACCCCACAATCGAGAATTCCAGGTTCGAATCCCGGGCGGGAGGGAAATGATTGGTCGCGTTACTTATCACCTAATGCCGCTGTTCACCTAGTAGTAAATAGGTACCCAGGAGTTAGTCAGTTTGTTGTGGGGGTTGTGTCCCCCCCCCCCCCCTGGGGGGGGGGGGGGTCAGCAGTTCCACCTTCGGGAGGGAAGGGGAGGACCTCGATATAAGCCTAACATGTGTATATATATATATATATATATATATATATATATATATATATATATATATATATATATATATATACTGGCTGCCAGTATATATATATATATATATATATATATATATATATATATATATATATATACTGTCCCCGACACAATGATTCAAATTAATTTTTTTCTGGAGCTGCGCATCGTTCACATTATCTGTTCGAATTGCTCTTTAATAAAGGCCTCCTTCACGTGCTACAAATAATCGCCAACAGAACCTAAACACCGAACCCAACCTGCGCCTAACTCTATGTACAACACGTTTTAATATTCTATAATATTGATTTATATTTTAGCAAATTCCAATTTGTGAATGAACAGCATAATAAAATGGGCGAATGAGACTTTGGGGTCGGCCGGTGGATGGAATGAACATAGCTTGAGTAGGACTTTGCTTCACCCACATACTCCAAATATAAATAATTGACAAGAGCCTAAATACCTAACCTCGGTCTAACTACACATACACAATTTTAATATATAATAACATTAATTTATATACGAGAAATTACCTGACTTTGAATACTCGTTGCAAAAAATTGTTTTATGAATGAGTCTTTGAAGTCAGCCACAGTTTGGAAGTGTGTGACTGAAGAACGGGTTCGGATAAGATAATTTCATTAATCGTACATTGTATATATGTATATATATTAATGCGGTTAGAATTTGTATTAGAATTGTTACCTTACACCACGTATATATTAAAGTGAATTAGGTATTGCAAGCTTGAAATGCAATTTTTCTGTCGAATTATCTGTCGCAATTGTCAGCAACATTGACAAGTAATAAACTAAGAGTATATTGTTATGTCTTCCCCCTTTGCCTTTGATTTCCCTGCAATGACGTTCGCAAACAAGCAATTACAAAGACCCACAGAACTAGGTTAGGTAAGGTCGCACAATGCAATTCCGTTCGCTCCAAGGATAGTTCATAGGAAGAAAGGAAGGATAGGAAGCGTCCACACCCAAGCTGGGGTGTGGACGCTTCCTGTTAGGGCACCGAATGACCTGGTTCATGCACAAGCTTAAAGGAGAAACCCCTCACAGTTCCTGCGACGGCGCTGGAACCAATCGTATTGGCGTATGCGTTTCCATTGGAGACTTTCAGCGCCGTAGAGAGGGGGGACCTGCTGCATGGGTAACAGCTTCTTCCCCGAATCTACCTACCCTGGCTTTGCGCCCTGGTGAGGCCACTCGAGATCGACAACCAGAGCGCAACTCCACAGTCTCCTGAGACTGATGGATGCCTACTACTATTGCATGATGGAGGGTCTAGGAATGATTGCAGAGTCAGGAGTGAAGTTGGCACATGGTGGTGTTGGCAACATTCTCCAATCTTTACCTATTGCAGAGAATAGGTCACAATAACGTCACTAAAAATTAAATGATAAATCTTCACTTATGAAATCAAACGAAAGCGACGACGTTTCGGACCGTCCCGGACGGTGAAAAGTGACGACGTTTCGGACTGTCCATGTTCCTTTTCAAGTCCTAACTTCTCTTTGAATATTTTCTTCAAATTTAAACGCTAATATATATATATATATATATATATATATATATATATATATATATATATATATATATATATATATATATATATATATATATATATATATATATATATATATATATATATATATATATATATATATATATATATATATATATATATATATATATATATATATATATATATATATATATATATATATGTTGTACCTAGTAGCCAGAACGTCGTACTCGGCCTGCTATGCAAGGCCCGATTTGCCTAATAAGCCAAGTTTTCCTGAATTAATATATTTTCTCTAATTTTTCCTTATGAAATGATAAAGCTACCCATTTCATTATGTATGAGGTCAATTTTTTTTTATTGGAGTTAAAATTAACGTAGATATATGACCTAACCTAACCAACCCTACCTAACCTAACCTAACCTATCTTTACAGGTAACGTTAGGTTAGGTAGTCGAAAAAGTTAGGTTAGGTTTGGTTAGGTAGATTAGGTAGTCGAAAAATAGTTAATTCATGAAAACTTGACTTATTAGGCAAATCGGGCCTTGCATAGTAGGCTGAGAAGTGCGTTCTGGCTGCTAGGTACGACATATATATATATATATATATATATATATATATATATATATATATATATATATATATATATATATATATATATATATATATATATAATACAGGCGAGGCAATCCGTGCAGTTAACTGACCTGGGATGCTGGGACCCATGACCTCGGATGCCTTGACCTTAGATTTTATCTCGAAGCATTTAATTATTACATACCAGTCTCTCTCTCTTTTTTTCTCTCTCTGTCAATGACTCCTCCCTGGTGATCTTGTTGCCTGAGGCCCCAAGCCGAGCCACTCATCCCCGCTCCAGTACACCCATCCCATCCCCCCCCTCCCCCTGTCATGCAATCTACTTCATCTATCCCCAGCATATCCCTCGTGAGATATGAGGGATATGAGCATATCCCTCATATCCTTCTATCTCCCATCATATCCCTCTATCCCCAGCATATCCCTCTATCCCCAGCATATCCCTCTATCCATTTCCCTCTCTTCACCTGCACCAGTCTCTACTCCCTGGCCTTTACCTACAGCACCAGCACGCAATCCAACTATCCCACTTCACCATCTGCACCAGCGGGGAAAACATCCTACTTCACCATCTGCACCAGGAGGAAAACATCCCACTTCACCACCTGCGCCAGCGAGGAAACATCCCACTTCACCACCTGCGCCACCGAGGAAAACATCCCACTTCTCCACCTGCGCCAGCGAGGAAAACATCCCACTTCTCCATCTGCACCAGGAGGAAAACATCCCACTGCACCACCTGCGCCACTTTACACTCTTGCTCTCGTACAAAGACTCGTAGAATGACTCGTACAAAGACTCGTACAAAGACTCGTACAAAGACTCGTACAAAGACTCGTACAAAGAGTCTTGTTAGCGTACATGTCCCCACCAAGAGGCCGCCACTTACAAACAACATGATAATCCCGTCAAATTGCTCCACTTAAAAGTGTTTTTTTTTTGTCGTTTGTGGTCTGATATTAACGAAGATAATTTGGCGCTGCTGTGCTCTGATTGAACACTTCCCTTCCACACACACACACACTCCTCTGGCTCTTCCCTTGCTCCGTGTTCCTTTCCGTTCTCGTTTCTTTGCTTCGTCTCTTCCATTTTTTCCGTTCCTTGCTCCTCGACCCTCCCGCCGCGCTGGCTCCTTCACCCTTGTGTATTTGTCAAGGTTAAATGCATAGGTCATCCGTGTTTTTTACCACCATGGGTCCACATAACCGTGGGTCACCCACACATAGTAGTAAATAGGTACCTGGGAGTTAGTCAGCTGTCACGGGCTGCTTCCTGGGGTGTGTGTGTGTGTATGGTGTGGAAAAAAAACACACACAAAAAAAGTAGTTAGTAAACAGTTGATTGACAGTTGAGAGGCGGGCCGAAAGAGCAAAACTCAACCCCAGCAAACACAACTAGGTGCATACATCTGTCACTCGCATTATAAGGAGTTGTGTATCTCGCAGTTCAAGGCTCTCCTGCCTGGCTCTAGTGCCGGCACTCTGACGATAGTTGACCGATTACTGTGACCCTTCACGGTGTACTGAGAGGTGTCGAGTGACCTGTGTGTATGTGCCGCGGGGCTCGTGCTGGTCTGGGGTCACACTTGCGACGTCTGGGTGTAACCTGTGTGTGTTCGCTGATTGAGGGAAGGGAATTATCAGCGGAAATTGCCACGCTATTACGACTATATATATAGCACTTGGAAAGGGTCAGGATGACGATTTGGGATGGGATGAGGGGGAAGGAATGGTGCCCCAACCACTTTGACTGTCGGGGATTGAACGCCGACCTGCATGAAGCGAGACCGTCGCTCTACCGTCCAGCCCAAGTGGTTGGACTCGCTGAGAGGGGGGGGGGGAAACATTGGTTATTTCAGTCTCCAGACGGTGTCCTCTTCCTCAGCATTTTTTGAGGAGATAAAGGGACAAATCCACAAGGGCAGTTACGAGGATTCGAACCTGCGTCCAAGAGCACCAGTGTAGTGTGAGATAAAGGGAGCTGCTTGTACTGTGAGGGGGAAGGGGGACTCGACCCCTGCGTAGGCCAGGCCGGCTCAAGCTTCCATGGTAAGCCTGGCGAAATAATTTAAGAATACCAAGTCGTTCACAGGATCAGTTTCCACTTGCTGGGGAGATGTTGAAATTAAATAGTTTGTCCATCATCATTTGAAACATTTTTTTAAGGATACACAGTAAATGATTTCGGCAGAGTAGCAGAATTTTAACTAATTAGCGTCTTCAAGCACGGATGGATTCCAGCTTTGTCTGATTACTTGATTCCTAAATGTGAGCAAAATAATACATTATGTCGCTGAACAATGATTAATAAGCGCTTTAATTGATTCAGTTACCGATGCTTTCATTGATCGCGTTTTCTATGACTAATAGTATGCGACACAAAACTCTACGGTCATCGTTTGCCGTTGTTGAATAACCCGAAACCTTCCTCTAGGGAAGGCTAACAACTGTCCTTGCTTAGGATGCAACCTACAACGGCTGCCTAACTTCAAGGTACCTGTTTACTGCTAGATGAACACTGGAATGTCTGTCTTTCCACGGGAATCGAACCCTGCACCTTTCGG